GCGGTCGCGCGTGGGGCGCGCACTGGGCACGCGGGGTCGGGTCGCGGTCCTCTGGGCAGCCCGAAACTGTGGAAAGGGCGCGGGTCAGCGGACCGAGGCTGCAGACCCCGCCCGCTCAGACCGCCCACTGCGGCGGGGGTCGCGTCCTAGCTGAGCGCCCGGCGCGAGTGAACCCGCAGGAAGTGCGGTCTGGGGCGAGGGGGTGCGAGCTGGGGATCTCGGTGCTCAGAACCGCCGGCGGCTTCGGGGACTGCGTGGACCGCATCGGGCCGGGAGGTGAGATTGAGTACAGATGCTGGCGCTGCTGCTGGTCCCGCGCGTCTCAGCTGGCGCCGCGCTTAGCGCCCTCCCTGCGGCCCCACGCGCGCCGCCGGGACGGGGGTGCCCGCCGCGCTGGAATCCGGGCGTCCCGCGTTTCTTAGACTTGTGGACGTCCATGCTCGGTCAACCGCGCGCATCCCCGCCTCTCCCCGGCGCTGTCCAGGGCAGGAGCTGCCATGATGGAGGTGCCCGCGGCTGCGCCAGACCCGGGCCAGCGGCCTTTGTCCTCAGCGCCTGCTTTACATTCGTAGAAGCGCGGCCTGAGGTTTCTGGTAGCGGTGCGCGCTCCTGAGGCCGGGCCGGGCCCCTGGTCAAGGTGCCAGGCTGTGAGTGCGTCCCTTATGTTCTGCTGCCAAGAAGGGGGAGCTTCAGGAACGGGAATCTCACCTCGCCAAGGAGAACCTGCGCCAAGCTCTGACCCACTGGGACTTCAGAATGGAAACCCAGAAAGGAGCCAGGGCTTGAGTGCTGGCACCACATTCAGTTGCTCTGAATCGCTGCAGAAGAGAAGAGCTGGACTGCTCCCGGTGGCAAGGGGTGGACGGCAGGGGAAACGCGGCCGCGTTGGCGGGGTCCTGGGGAACTCGCAACTAGGGGACTGATCTTCAGGCCCTGTGCCCTGAGCAGCTCCCTCGGCTCCCACATTTCTCACGATCTCTCCAAAAGCTGGGCACTTTCAGTCCACGCGGGCCTCCACGTTGCGCTGCTGGGGTGTCTTTCCTAATTTTACCGGGTCTGCGCCAGGGACCTGTTTCTGTCTCATTTGGTAGAAGGAAAAAAAGAACCTGAAAGGGAAAATAAGTTGTCTAGATGAGTAAGAGGAGAGAACTGGGAGTCACTGACTCCTGATTTGGTGAGGTGCCCGCGGAAACAGTTTCTTGTGACATGATCTTTTTGGGAAACAGCAATCAAATAGAAGACACTGACTTTCAAAAGACCTGTGGCTACAGCACCCGTCCCTTTTCCAGAGACTTGTGAATATTCTCATGCAGGGTTGACATTGTTGGTGTTAATAGGGCCCCCTCAACATCAGTTTTAATGAAAGACCCTGTCTTCATTGTTTGAGATACCATTATCTGTTTAATCAGTTTTGCTTAAACAGCGTGTCTTTGTCAGTCAGAGGGGCTATAAATCATGGAAGCAGTAGGGAACATTGCAGGTTTAAACTCCATGAAATTATGTTGGTGCCACAGAAGGGCATCGGATGTGTCCTTTCTCTCCAGCTACCAGCGGGTGTGTGGAAGTAAGTGTTCAGGAGGAGACTGGAGAAGCTGCAAGGCCAGCGACTGTCATGACTCTGCTCTTCTTTCTTCCTCTTCCAGGTGTGTCTGTCCAGGTCTCCATGATCTCCCAATAATAACAGAAAATGAACAAATTCCAGGTGAATTGTTTCTTTATTCCCTATTTCATTTTCCAGTGGATTTTTTTTTAAAGATTTATTTATTTATGCACACAGAACTGGGGTACAGGCTAGAGTGCACGGGCGGTGAGAGGATTCACCAGAGACAGAGTGGGGAGCAGAACAGGCAGATCGACGAAGTACACTGCTGAGGGGAGCAGTGGGTGGGTCAGAAGA